CCTACACCAAAGTGTAATTCCAGAATATTTATTCAATGTATAGAACAAGATGTTAGTTTTGACCAACTGCCCTTTGTCTAAAGGGTTTTTTTTGTTTTTTTTGTTTTTTTTGTTTTTTTACAGAATGAATTATAAAAGCTTATGTTGAAAATGATATGGATTTATGGTCCCCTGGTACAATGTCACTGATGTGTATTTTACAGAGGGCAATAGCTACATAGTGACAGTCCTGTTTAGTGCAGTAAGCTTTTCAATCCTAATGATGATGAGACAACTGTGTTATTTTTTAAAGGTTTTGAGAGGAATTAATCAGACAATACACCCAAGTAGGCAAATTTAACAATCAATTAACACATGAAAAAATGAACCATATAAGAGGTATATTTCAGTCCATGTCCCTTGCACAAAATAAATATATTCTCTTGCATAGCAACTAACCTATTTTGCTGCTGTAACAATACTATTGGATATACTCTCTTGTATTCTAGATAAAAAAGGATCCTTGTAAAAATTTAATCCAGAAAGTCTGACTCTGACCTGAAGTTAAAGGAAAAATATTGTCTCACACAGTGCATGATTTAGATGGCACCAAAAATTCCACCTGGCGTTTATAGGCCATAAAGCAGCAGAAAAACAAACTAAAAGAGAAACAGCAGCTGTGTAATTTAACAAACATGACATCTATTTTTGTGTTTTGCTCTCTAAAGTCCCTCTTTCTTCCTCCAAACAGGCTGAAACCAAGTATAATAATAATTCTCCAAAGCGAAGTCCTGAGACCTGTACCTTTTTGGAGGAGCAGATCCATTTATTATGATGAAGTTACTGCCTAAACTGTTGCTTGAAACTTTCTTACCTAACACAAGGAGGTACAGGTTTCACATCTCCTGCTCCATGCATTGGTGGAGGTGGAGGTGGCTCATGTGGTCTGACTAATACACGCTCCTCAGCTCTGTTCAGTAGTTCAGACATCTGACTATAGGGTAATGCAGAAAGAGAATAGGTTCCCTCCATATGTTCCACATAGGCTTGAGGTCTGAAAAAAACATGCATTTTTTCCCTTTAAAATGTTCTGATTATCAGACATATGCATTAGTAGGAATAAACTATCCATTACTAAACTCACCAAATATTCTGTACTACTGATTGATCTCTGAATTAAAATTCCCTTTGCACAAGAGATGCCAACTGACCCAGGGTTTCAATTCTTTTTTTTGTTTTTTTGTTTTCCTGTTCTGTCCTACTGCTTTTAGCTACTCAAAGGTTAAATAGTTTTTGATTGATAAGCCAAATGATTTTTAAAACATGATCTATTAACGTTTATGTTCGTTTAACTCAGTTAAGGAAACTCCAGCACAGTAAGTAGCAGCTACATGCTGGTAGTGGCTTGTGTTTTGCCAGTGTTGCATATTTTCCCAAATTTTATAGAATTCCTAATTTTAATAGTTTTACAAAAATTCTAACAAGAGATCAGTGTTTTTAAACATTCTATGGACGCACTATTTTCAATTATTTTAAGTGATTAATTAGAGTGCTGCAAATGGGTATACTTCAAATTCAAGAACAAGGCAGTCTAAAGTTTACTATAATACAGCAGAAGTAAAACAAAGGTGCCTATAATGCTTAAGCTACTTTAGTGTGCTATTGATGTTAACTCCTGGTACAAACTCTGTTGGACCCAATTCAACACCAATTAAAATGTAATTAATTATATTTTTAAATTAATGAAATTGAATTAAAGTATTAGTAAAGATCTAGGTCCCTTTAATAGAGAAAAAGTATTTGCAGAACACTTTTTGGCTTTGTCTTCCAGGACTCTGTTTTAGCTTTCTGTAGAATCTATGCACATTATAACCAGTTTGTTCAGACTTCTTGTTCTAGGTTTCTGCAGCATCTAGTAAAGAGAGATCCTGGTCTGTGACTAGGCTCTCTGGCACCATGATGATGATAGTCACTGTTGATATGTAGGGGGTAGCGAGGGGGACAGTAAGGGGGCACCTACTCTAGGTGCAGATTTAGGCTGCATACATGCATTCAAAGCATCCAGGTCAACTCTCCCAGGTTTATTTTTCTGAGAAAAATTGGCCTGTACAGGCATTCAAATAAAGAAGCAAAGAGCCTGCAGATGCTGGGCTGCCAGTGATCCCTAGTGCGTGTGACCCAGAGAGCTTTGCAGGCTTTTTAAAGTGAATATGGGCAGAGATTGTCAGGGTCAGGGAAGATGGGAGAGGAGTCTGTGCTATGCACAGTCTTCCAGCCTTTCGCTTCTGTATGCTGTGTTCAAGCCCAGCTGCAGCTGGCCAGGAAGTATGCTTTTATACTTCCCGAAACCCAAATGCCGCAGTGCGATTCAGGCAGGGAACAAGCCAGGAACAGAACACGTCTCCTAACTGCTTCAATGCTGGGCTTTGCTAAAACACACAGGGGGTATGTTCTGCTCCCTGCTTAGCTGGGACTAACACAAGCTGTCCCTGCAGGAGGGGGAGAGAAGCACCAAAGCACACTGGCAGCCTGTATGGGAGTTCTCTCTCTTGAGAGAGATTCTCCAGGGACCTATGTCACTTGGGTTGTTCCCACATGATTTTTCTCCCAGAGTGACCGCTTACTCTGCGAGAAAAACTATGAACTTCTGTATATTTGTGGTTTCTCCTGAGTAAGCAGGGACTCTCCTTGGAGAAACTGAAAAGCTGTCCAAGCCTTTAGGTCTCGTACAGACATTCATTTTCTTCTGGGAGTATCAGTGCTCTCCCAGGAGAAACCATGGGCATAAAGCTGTTCAGGCTTTTTCTCCCACAGTAAAAGTGGCCACTCCAGGAGAAAAATAACTTGAGGACAACCAGGGTTAAATCAATCCCAGGAGAGTTTTTCATGGGAAAGTGAATGTCTGTACATGTCTTGGCTTGTCTTAGAAGAGAACACAGTCCTTCAGCATTTCCCCCCTCCCTCCCAGGGATCAGTGTGTTGCTCACTGGACTCTGCTACTCCAGCAGGAAGCAGAACATGGTCCCTTCACAATGCCCACATTGTGCTGCAGGGAAACGCAGGTCAAGCATAGGCAGTCTGGATCAGCAAGAGCTGCTCTATGCACTATTGCCATCTGTTGCCAGGTAGACTAAGGAAGACTGCAAACCATGCTGAGATGCACCCTGGGGCTACACAGTGTCAGCACTGCAAGCTCTTCGCTCTTCAGGGCCTCAGCATTTGAATGTCTATACATGTGGCTCTGGGTAATTTCTCTACCAGGAGAACAAACCTCAGAGAATTCTCCTAGATTATCTGAATGTGGGTACACAGCCTTACAGAGGGATTAAGAGTGGTCCCCAGAGAGCCTGTGCAATGTAGACTGCTGAAGCTCTTGTGTCCAAAGCCCTTGCTGCTGCCTAAGCTTACCACAACAGCAGCAGCCATGAACCCCAACTGTGTTGGCTGCTGCAGCCAGGGTGCAGTGACCCCACACCACAGTAGCAGCAGCCAGAATCTCTGAGATATAGAATGAGGTAAGACTTGCTTGGATTCCCTCCTTCTCCAAGCTCTTTCTTATTACTATTTTCTATGTCCTTGAATTTGCACAAACACTGCAGAGAGCAACATGGCAGGTACATCACTCAAAATGTTACTGCCAGCTAACTGCAAATATATTCTATGAAAGCAGAATACAGCATGTTGTGGCTTGCAGCTGGCTATCATCCAAACAAACCTTAGATTTGTTCATGAGAAATTCAGTGGTCTCATCTGGCCTCAAAGTAGATATTGTTCACTTCTGAACTGTCACATACTAGTGGCAGTTTCTGCTCAAGAAAATTAGAAGTCTATAATAAAAGGGTTTTTTCTTGTTGCACAAGTGAAGTGCAAAAACAGGTCTGTGTATAAGCTTGTACAGATGATATTAGATTTTTCATGAGCAGCAATGACACACACACCTCCGCATCTCCAATGACTTAATGAATTCCAGCAATATAAATTACTTTTTAAAGTGACAAGGTAATCATAAACCATTAAAAAACACATGGGCAAAGAACTTTAAAATTATCTTCTGGGTGAGGTAATTCTTTCACCACCATCACTTTGAGTACTGCGGCACATAATACAGTCATCTACCCATTTCTAAGCATACTTGTAGTGTAAGAGTAAGACTTATATTTAATAAAGGATGGAATAATACAAAAGAAACCTTGTTTCAAAATGTGGAGCAGGGCCATTAGCGATTTCAATGTGCTTATGTAATAAATTAGCATCATCCTCAGCAAGCTCGGGACCTTGGGCTAACTTCTGCCACTCTCTCCGTCTGTCATGGGGTGCCCTTGGCACTTTTTCCGGTTCATGAGGACGGTCTAGATTCTTCTGCTGTAAGAGTCATGCAAACAAAACTGACAATTAAGACAAGCTTTCTAAATAAGTCAGGATTTTAAAATAGAGTTGCAAAACATAGAGAAGTATCCTGGTTATATGAAAATGAAAAAAAATAACTTAAATCCAAATACAGTATGAAGTGAAAGCCTTGTAGAGGGAGAAGCTTTACTCTGTCCAATACTTAGTAGAAAATACAACAAACAACAACCTAGTGATGATCCTAAATTAATTCAAAGCATGCTTGAAATGTACATTTATATTACATAAGGGTATTACTATGTTTGTACTATATTTGTAAGACAATACCAACAAAACGTGTAGCAATGACTCTCCTTAGTTTTTTATACTTTTCATTTTTTTTTAATTAAAATTGATCCCTTTTTACCATAATAATCTTAAATTAAACTAAACATTTCTAAAAATAAACCCCACAACCATTTTGCCATACGATTGTTAGGACTTTGGATTTTAAAGGAATGCCAGAGAGATTGTTATATTTTTCATCAGAGTTTTATTAATTTTGAGTTACTGTTATAAGGTTCAGAACATTTAGAGAACCCACTGTTAACCACAGTGAGACAGCAGGACAGCTCTATGCCCTTTTAATGGTGTTTTATTACAAAAAAAGGTTGATTGGATTGAATTAATTCTGCCAGTTTCAGTAGGCTGAAAAGATTATACGTGTCTGTCTAAAGGAATGAACTTTTAAAATCACAGAACCACGGAAGTACCATATGTACAAGCAAACGCTTTCCAGGAAAAAAAATAACCCAAAGCTATTTAAGCCCAGAACATCATACCTTCTGCTTTCTTTTTTCTTTTCTCTTGTCTTCAGTGTCCTGCAACATCTTTTCTTTCCATAGATCAAAGAAATATGAGGGATTAGTGTAAAACTTCAAACCCTCTTTTCCATCATCCCTGCAATAAAATGATCAAGACAGAATATAATATTTATTTTGCAACATATGGGACTAAATGCTGAGGCAACAGATAGGCATCTTAATGAGTGCAGTCTGGGCCCTTAAATGGTTTGCTAGATAATAGCTGTTAAATTGATTCACCCAAGCCTCAGGAGGTATTGTCCATATAGTGCAAGGCTGTTCAGTCTGGCACAATGCTATATTAATGCAGCCTTACTGGTTTTGGTTCTGGGGTTAGTGCACACAGAGCTGGTTCAGGGTGTCTTTACATGGCACTGCCTTGTGCTATACAGACATACCATTGGAACCTAAAGGCGTTTCCATGATATCTAGGGATAGAAAGGAAGTGGGTGAGGTGTAAATTGGAAAAGGAGGCTATAATCTGGACCAACACCCAGATAAACATAGTGTTCACCAGCGAAAGGCAGGGTAGTCTCCATCCCCATAATATTCCTGCATGATAGGAGCCCTCAGAAATTATATGCAGAACCACAATCTAGCATGCAGCCTCAATAATAAAAAAGAGCCTAAATCCCACCCTAAAACTATATGTGCAACCATCATGGATTTGACTACATTGCATAGGTTATCCAAACTAGGCTCAGGAACAGAACCAAAGGAAAAGGATTAATTCTTTCCAATTATTTTTTCTTTTATTGGGTCATAGGATTCAACATGTTTGAGTGTGCCATGCCAGAAACTACTGACAATGATGCTCATGCTTTTCTTTCCTATTCTTGTGAAATTGTTCTCATCATATAAGAGCCAAATCAAAGGACAAAATATGCTTTACAGTCCTCCCTCATAGCAACATAATCTGATTTAAAGAACATGTTTTAATCGGCTTTTTATCATTCAAGGAACTACAAGGTTTGACAGGTATGGAACTTGAGAATAGCTTTTCTGTGTGTTACCTGGCAGAAAATTTAAGGTAACTTATAGGTCAGATTCTGCTACCTTTTAAAACTAAAGGACTGAAGGTCGGCGACACCAAGGCCCCCACCCCGCTGGAACTTTGCAATAGGTATGAATTTCTTGCAGCCCCAGCAGAGTCTGCTAAGCTGCTAGCTCCTGCAGGCAACACAGGCTCAACTGTAGCTACTGCCCCCTCTCTCCCTAAGACAAAACATGAAGTGTTTGTCATGGGAGACTCCATCCTGAGGAGGACTGAGGAGACACTCTGCCGCCCCGACCCCTTAGCTTGGGAAGTCTGCTGCTTCCCGGGAGCCCAAATCCGAGACATTGCAGAAAAGATCCCTGAGCTCCACTGGCCCACTGACCCCTACCCCATGCTCCTTATCCATGTGGGCACAAATGAGCCGCATTCCCAAGCAGGTCATGAAGTGGTACAGGGATTTGGGAGCGGGGCTTAAGGGGCTGGGGGTGCAGGTGGTGTTTTCATCAATCCTCCCAGTTTCGGGCTATGGGCTGAGGATGGAGAGGAGAATCGAGGTAGTGAACCAAAGACTGTGGCGCTGGGGTCATCGGGAAGGCTTTGGCTTCCATGACCACAGTCTGCTCTTTCGTGAGAGAGGCAGTCAGCTGCTGGGAAGGGACGGCCTCCACCTCTCTCGGCTGGGGAAGAGGCTCTTCTCAGCCAGACTGGCTGACCTGCTCCACCAGACTTTAAACTAAGCCTACCGGGGGATGGAGCGAACACTGCCACTGCTGGCCCACTGAGCAACCCTTGCAAAACCAGCAGGCCAAGGCACTTAAGGAAGCCCACCCCTGCCCCAGCCCTGGAATGAGCTGTAGGCAAGGCAAGGGCCCCCAAGGGGACACTTGTGTGCCTGTAAACAAATGCCAGGATCTTGGGGAATAAACAGGAGGAACTTGCCCTCCTGCTTAACACAAATAATTATGATGTCATAGGAATAACGGAGACCTGGTGGGACTCCACCCATGACTGGGCCACAGGTATAGATGGCTATCCCCTGTACAGGAGAGAGAGAGTGGACAAAAGGGGAGGGGGTGTAGCTCTCTATGTCAAGGAACGCTACACATCCCTGCAAGCTGACATTGGCACCCAGGGTGGACAACTGGAGACCCTCTGGGTTAAAATCTGCGGGGAACATGGCACAGGGGACACAATGGTGGGAGTCTACTACAGACCTCTACTACAGACCTCCAGGATGAAGAGCCTGACCAGGAGTTCACCAGGGAATTGGCTGAGGTCGCCTGCTCCCAGTGCATGGATGTCATGGGATACTTCAACTACCCAGACATCTCGTGGGAAAAGTGCTTGGCCAAATCCAAGCGGTCGCAAAGTTTTCTCTCGTGCATGGATGAACTCTATCTGACACAAGAAGTCTACAGGCCAGTGAGAGGTAAAGCACTGCTTGACTTGGTTCTGGAAATGGGGGACAACCTAATCAGCGACCTAACGATCAAAAGGAAGCTGGGGGACAGTGACCACGAGTTGATCACCTTCACCATCCGCTGTAAAGCTGGCAAGTCAGTCAGTAATACAGAAGTCCTCGACTTCAGGAAAGCTGACTTTGACAAGCTCAGGAGGCTTGCCAGCAAGGCCCTAAAGGGTCACAGACCAAAGAAGAGGGGAGTTCAGGATGAGTGGTTGCTCCTCAAAGGAGCGATCCTGGATGCACAAGCAAAGTCTATTCCATCTCAGAGGAAAGGTAGCAAAAGGGCACAGCAGTCCCCTTGGATCTCCAGGGATCTAGCAGACCTCCTGCGTCTAAAAAGACAGATCTACAAAGGATGGAGGACTGGATCCACCTCCAAGGAGGAATATTCTGCACTGGTCCAGACCTGCAGGGAGTGAACCAGGAAAGCCAAGGCTGCAACAGAACTCCAACTAGCTACAAGTATCAAAGACAATAAAAGTCCTTTTTTAGATACGTGGGAAACTGGAGGAAAAGCAAGGGCAACACTGGACCCCTGCTGAGCCAGATGGGACAGCTGACAACCGATGCCCAGGAAAAAGCCAACTTGCTAAATGGGTACTTTGTGTTGGTCTTTCACCAGTCCCACAGGACGCCCCTGCCCATTACAGGACAAGGAGACCCGGGTGAGGAAGATTCCTTACCCTCCATCAGTGCTGAACACTTTGAGAGGCTGGATACCTTCAAGTCAGCCGGCCCTGACGGTTTACACCCTAGGGTACTCAAGGTGCTGGCTAGCATCATAGCTTAGCCCCTGGCACGGATCTTCAAGAACTCCTGGCGCTCAAGTGAAGTGCCCAAAGATTGGAAGAAGGCCAATGTGGTGCCTATCTTCAAGAAAGTGAGGAAAGTGGATCCAGAAAACTACAGGCCCATCAGCCTGACCTCTACCCCAGGGAAGGCCTTAGAAAAGATTATCAAAGAGGCCATTCTTAACAGACTGGCCAATGGCAACATCCTGAGGGATAGCCAGCACGAGTTTGTTGTGGGTAGGTCTTGCTTGACCAATCTTATTTCCTTTTATGACCAGGTGATCTATCACCTGGACAAGGGAGAAGAGATTGATGTCATATATCTTGACTTTAAAAAAGCCTTTGATCTGGTATCCCATGATCACCTCTTAGCAAAACTGGCTATCTGCAGCCTTGGCCTCGGCCTCACCATGATTGCTGGCTGGGGAATTGGCTCCGTGGTAGGACCCAGAGGGTGGTGGTTGATGGAAGTCGATCGTTGTGGTGCCCTGTGACCAGTGGGGTCCCTCAAGGCTCTGTCC